TTACTTTTATAGATACAATCATATTTGCACGATGTTCTAACTTTCGCTGTTATCTAAAAGGGGCGAGCAAAACATTGTTTTCAACAGAATATATTACATATTTGAAGTTTGAAGTTTCTTTCCATTTTATGCAATTCTAATATTAAAAAATTTGTTAGGGATAATAATACAAATTATTAAAATTATTTTTACGTGCAAAATTATTCGTTGATATGTTCGTTATAATGGTATCGAACTGAATCTTCGAAATAAATGTAACGCGAGAAATTTCCGTTTTAAGAGGATGAAATTGATGTCAATGTTGAATATTTCTCCATATTTGAAATTTTTTGTATCGCTACATCAGCGGCATGTCATGAAAGCGAAGCAACGATCGTAAGCACGGAGTAATTAAGGATTTATGTTCGCTGACGTGGCAAAGCAGTTAAATACAAATCAACGTAGGCACTGCTGCTGCAATATCACGAAATTAATTATTTCATTTTCTCAGCATCCGCTGCTTTCGCTGTCGGCGATGCTTCGAATGCAAATAGAATTTTCAAATGGGACCTAAAACATCAGCCGAACTTTCTCTATGTGATAAATAAAATTTTAGCCCCGATAATTACGGAAGTTGATTTTTCTTTCTGATCAAAATATTCTTACAAAACATCGAAGATTGAACATATAAAAAAAAATGGATTTGTAAAAGCTTTTTTCGAAGGTGTTTTGAAAATATCCAAGGGTTCAGTATAGTATTAATGATGAAAAAATAACACACGATCTTTTTCAGAGCAATTACTTCGCCCACATTTTATTACATATGTCGAGTGTATCCATAAGAACTTTTTTCATTTCTTTTCTCATGTAAATAACAACATTCAACTCAACGGCGCAAAGCATAATAATATTATAATAATATATCATGTAACATACAATATATATATATAAATATATATATGTATATATATATATATATATACACATACATATGATATATCATTACTCAATAGTCCCTCTTAATTCGTATATTTATATTTATATATTTATATTCTGTGTTATGTATACATATATATCTTCGCGTTTAATTCGTTTTATGCATTCAAGTTTCGACAGTATCTTTTTGTCTCGAAATTCGAAAGAAGCACGTCTCGAGTATCAGGTCTGGAAAAATTGTACATGACTTTTATCCTTCCGCTTAAAAATTTATCCAGTCAACTAACTTCACGTTTGACCTCTTAAATTGCGAAACAATCACAGTCTTTACCTTTTCTAGAAAATAGTTATGTATAAATTGCTAATAATTACGATTAAACAAATACAAATATTTATCATTGATTTTCTGTAAAATATAATAAATAAATACAATCCACGTATTTTGGTAAAGTTATTTTTCGGGGAATAATAATACTAGGTCGTAAAATGCTGAACTAAACAACAATTGTTAGTAGGTACAATTTCTTTCAATTCTGCTAACCGTTTTACAAACATATATATGGAGAAGCGGACGAATTAATACATCTAGCATAATGAGTTCAAGCGAAAGGAGAGAATTTCGATGTACAAACTTCCGTTTCCGACGTTACCCTGACAAAATACCGTGTTGAGTTTTCGTTTAATTTTAGATTAACTTAGATTTAGAGCTTCTTATCGAGCTTCGAGCGAAAACGATGTGACCGACCACTTAAAATAACTTAACCGCTAAGACGACTGTTCTTCGCGTCGATTTCGTTACACGTTACATGCTAAGGTCAAAATATTCCCCTATGGTATTATTTCCTTCCTGACACACACGCTTGTTTACAACAGCCGTATAAAATCCGGCAAAATTGAACGACCGAACGAAAGCATCTTGCAAAGGATGCGATTCAAGAGTCTGGAATTGGATTGTTTCTCATCGAAGTATTTTCTTCAATCATGAAAATCCAAAGGACATGTATTTACATTCGAGTGGAAATCGTGTATTAATTTTTGGGCTGTAAGCTACTTTTAGTAGCTACGTTTCAGTATCGGATACTTTTTTAGTTACATGTTTAAAAATAAATTCAGCCTTGATGACATTTTTAAATTCTACTATCTACAGGTATATGTACGCTTCTACGTTGTTCCACTTAATAAAATAATTCCGTATAATGTTCTTTTCTATTTTTGTGAAGTCACACGACATTTCCCTTTTCTTTACGACGCATTATGTTTTATTATATTTTTCGTAATTCTTTCCTTGGATTCACTTTCATCGACATGTGCATCAATGTGGAAGGTAGGAACGCAAACTTTCGAAATTTTTAAGCAGTATTGAGTTCATTAACTTGAAGAATTTCTGAATTTGAAGTTCGTCAGTTCTCAAGTTCGAAGTTACAGAGTTCAGAGTTTATGTAAATGCTGCAATGCAAGTTCCTCTTTCAGGATGTTTTTGGGACAATGGAAATGTAGATAAGCTTGATAAGATTGGTAAATGTTCTTTTTACGTTATTTAACTATTTTTCAAAATTCTGTTATGAAACTTACTTATGAATTTGTAAACTGTATGTACGCATAAAAGTTAGGAATGTATCTCATTTCAAAATTCACAGCACAATTTCAAATATTAATTAGTTCCAAATACTTTGGTTGATTTATGATACGTTCATCGCCATGAAACTTTAAACTTTTTATTTTGATGAAACATCTTTTCTTTGAGAAATAATTGTAAAGGAGTAGCTTTTTACACCACATGAAATGACAATCGCAATATTTATTCGCGTTGATAGTCGATTATTGTTTTCTCTAGACAGATTCATAATTATGCAATTATAATTATCAATATTTTAGAGATGCGTCCATATTTTATTTCTTGTTCAGTTATAGAAAACTACATATCACTTAGATTTTCACATTTAACAATGTACTTTAAGCGAAGAACAATCGAATTCAAGTCACTTGCATCGTTTCGCTTGTACGAGGGCGACCATAACTCAATTCCTAACCGAACGCCTCGGTATATTTATTCTAAATTCAATGCAAACCAGAACAAAAAGTTGTCGCGATACAAGAAAATTCTCAACAGTTTTCCATGTTTCTCGAAGTAAACTCTCGAGGCATGAATAAAATGGTCACGAATTCAACAGCATCGCGAGGACTCTTCGTTTCGTTTCTCTCTTCCCGTGTCTATTTACTTATTTAGTCTATGTACTCGTATTTACAGGATCCGCCAGCATGACGAGTCGAACGTTATTATACTCAGGCCGATATTCGTATAATGTATAATATGCGCCATCGTTCTCTGTAGAAATTACTTCAAGAGGAATACAGGGCGCGAAATCACGCTTCTTCTTTCTCGCCGCGAGCTGAACTGCGTTAATTATGAAATGCTCGTTCAATATGTGAAATTACACTAAAAATCGAAACAGGATGAACGGAAGATAATTCGAATTAACTGAAACTTCACGTTCCTTTTGAATTCTTCGAAACAATTGAATTCGACAAAAAGAGGTAAGTTGTTTAAAAATAAAATGGTTGAAATGATAATTGATAATCGTCTATTAAATATTATTATAAGAATAAAACTGCAATATCAGCACAGTTCAGTGTTTATTGCATATATTCTACTTGAATTCTATAATGCTTATTTCGCGTGATACTTTGGGTGGGATTTCGTAATCTGCAATTGGAATATCGGTGGTTTTCTCAATTTTTATCGACACACGGAGGCTCGTAATAACAATACAAACTAGTCAAGAGATATTCAACGCTCTGTTTCGATCAAAATATTCTTGCGAGAAAAGCAAACCTGCCGCAGTTCGATAGAGACCTCTAGAAAGAAAAAGTGAACTTCAACGCGTGCTATCTACATTCGTTTATTCGTTACAAAAGAAAAGTATTATTTATTTTCGGAACAATTTCTTCAAATTTTTCTCAAAAATATTTTCTCCCTTTCGTCCTGTTTTTTATATCAACAAAGATAATAATTTAGCTGTACTTTTAATTGCTGAAAAGTATTATATACAAAGAGTTTCGTCTATCAGCTCTACTATTGTATTGTATATTTTCCACGTGTGTACAATTTCTACACAGAAATTATGAAACTGTTTAGTTAGAAGAGAAGATAGAAGCACGAATGTCCGAAATTGAGTTTCATTGTTTGGAAAGCAGCTCGATACATTGAGGTGATGACGAAATTTAAAGATCTGCCGATAGTAAGTCAGCATAATCCTCGAGCTACCCTTCTTTAATCCATCATGGGCTTTAACCCGTTCGCGTCGAGTTACGGGACTCTCGAACCTGTTGCTTTAAACAAGATGTACGCTGAATAATGGATATTCCTAAGTAGTTCGAAGTCCGCTTTAAACTAGCGCAGTCCCGCAGCGGTGTTGCGCGTTTACAGAGAAATTCCGAACCTCGTTAATTAACAGGTGAATAAATTAATCGCGTGATGAATTAACGGAAGGTTATGTCTGTATGATGCGACTTTGTCAATGTTGTTCTTGATTCGCAATATACGAGGATTTCTGAAAGATCGTTCGTTCGATGGAACTATCATAGAATCTTGTTTAATTTTTCAATCGATTTTCTGATCTAATTTACATTATATTGTAAATTAAGGTTATTTATTTATGTAGTTAAATTCTTTAAAAGAAACTCAACTATACTATTAAGTTGTCCGGAAAGTGTGTTTCTTTCGCAAACGCGTTATTTATAACGATGCACCTTCATACAAACGTGAAACCAAGTCTGTGAAATGTCGCGGTGTTTATCTCAACAGAACAAAATGGGTCGTACGTAATTCGACAAAATAATATAAAACAAAAACGTTGTGCGTCTATTATTTTCTCATAAAACGAAAGAAACTTTTCGGACGACCTAATATTAGGAATTCGTATTGAAGAAATTTTTGCAGTACTCCAGGTGTACATCGTGTATGTTCTTGATTATCTTTACGATTAGATAGAATTAAAAACTATTTGAATTTCAAAATATGTAATCTCTCTATGCAATTGAAACGGAATTTTCATTCCTACTCATAGTTATTATTTAGATATTTTTTTTCATTGAAATACCGATACATACCTATTCCTCGAAAGGGTCTTTTTCAGGGGCATTTTAATGCGTGCGGAATTACAGTTAATTTGCGTTTTTGGGTATTCGAGGTTGCAGCGCCCTTGATGGATTAAAATCGATTAAAAGGTTCCGCACAATACCTTTTATTTCACGTTATTAATTTCCATTGTAAAAATTGCTCCAGCAGGCAGCAACATTATTTTATATTTTATTTTCATTTCTTTTTTTGAACGTAAATCGTCAAAATTAACGTTCGTGATTACAATCAATGGTTAAAGCTGGTTTGAAATCGAAATTTTGTGAGTGGTATTTCTCGTCGTCGATAAACCTGCAAAATTATTCGTGAAAGGGTTTTGGTGTTTTTAGGATTCGATAAAAACGCTTTACGTCCTAATGCAAAACTAATGAAGCTCCGGCAGTAAGAATAAAATTTCTTTATGTCTAAATGTTTTCATCGTCACTTAATCGATACCTACACGTTATTTATATATACTCTGTTTTTCATTTTTTTCCGTTTTAAGCGTTTCGATATTCCTTTCATCTCGATACTATACGTAGAATTTGAGCAGCTGTCTGGTCAACGTGGACACCTCAACGAAATTTAATCATGACGAAAAGATGCCTCGGTGCGTCGCTTTTCTCTTTTCTTTTCTTTTCCTTCGTTTAATTAATTCCTTGGTAATCGCAGATCCCGGTTTAATTTGTTCTAAAATTACATCGTCGAACCTGTGCGAGTGCAAAACCTTAATTGTTTACTAATTGTATTTATGAAAAATAAATTAAATGATAATCGATAAAATGTATTCAAAACTTAATAAAAAATACTCGATAAGAAGAATATGTGACCAGAATGTAACAAAAATATTATCGGTCAGTATTCTATCCTTGGAACTTAAAGATATTTTCAATTAATAATATTCCGTTTTTAATATTCCTTTACCTTTGATGTTCGTTTGACATTTGTACTCTACATTTCTTTCTTTTTTCTTTGTTTTTTCATGGAAGAATGTCCTCTATGCCGAATCTGACGTTTTAATCTCAACTATCCAGATGGGATCCGCGATTTGGTGTAAGGAACGGCTGTTAGAAAGAAAAGAGAAGAACTGAGGTAAGGGATGGTGGAGAAGAAACATTTCGCAGGCAGAATAAAGAGAGGGAGAGAATCATTCAAGGAGGAAAAATAGAAGAACGAAATCGATGGCGGGGACAGTTTACGCTTACATCACTGGTCTTTGTTCTTTTGTTATCAGTGCAGAAGGAAACATCGATTATGAAAATAATTTTGAAGTTGCTGATTCGGAAGATGAAATATTAACTTTAAGAAAATCAGTTTTATTCTGGCATGGCATAAAAAAAAGTCAGGTTCAAGTAAAGAAATTCTAAAATAGAATTCCGCGAGATTAGTTTTGAACCCGAACAGGTTGAAGACTTTCAGCGGAGCTCGAGATCGTTGGCGCGTTCTTCGTGGCGACATTTGGCGTTATACAATATGTTACACTGAAAGCGATAGTCGTTGCACTTTGTGATTTGCCCACGCTTCTTTACCTTTCATATCTCGTGCATATCGATTAATCGATAGATACTCATTTCCTATTGCACGATTTCTCATCTCATTTGTCTTTTTGGACACTGCGCTACACTGACTTGGCACGCATAATTATTATTCTTATTATTAATCTTTTTCCTCATTCGTGTTTTAATATGACACTAACTACTCAGTCATTCTTCCTTCTTTCTCATGTACGTGTATATATGTGTGCTGGTGTTGTCGTGTGCCATCTGTGTCTTTCTAACAGTCGTATTGGTTTCTGACTTCTTATTCTTTTATATTTCGTAAATGAAATCCAGATGATCGACGTCCGACGCGTCTATTTCTATTTGCTTATCGAATGATCGACACCACGATCAGAGCGATCATCAGAAGCAGTCCAGTCGTTGTCATGTTGACGGCTGAGTCTGAAAATAGAATGTAGATATCGTTAGAAACTTCTACAGGAATAAATGGAAAGTAAAGTAAAGTAAGATATTCATTTTTAGAAATCTTTTACAATTCTTCTCGTTTAACATAGAGATTATAAGATGTAGCCAGATGAAAATTCGGTGTTTTCATTGTTTTCTGCTATATATTTAGTCCGATATGTTTCTAGATTTCTTACGGAGATGAAAATAAAGGCTTTACGAATAATCAAGTATTATGCTATCTTTCCACGCAAATCTGACAATTATTAAAATACAAGCTTTCTGTTCTTTCTCTAATTACCCATGGAAAGTAAGAAAGTGAAAAAAAAAGAAATAAAAAAGAAGAAGGAAGCAACGCCTAGCTCACCGTTCTCAATGTATTAAAACGACCGAGGAAGAGATAGGAACCGCAGCAAATCGGGTAGGCGGGCGTGGATCGGGACCGTAAAAATCGCGTCAGTTGCCCCAAAAGGGTTGCTCGACAATCAAGAAATTCTCGTTGAAAATATCCGACCGTTGTTCCGGCGGAAAGACGGGCTGCGAAGAATCATCTTTTCTGGCGAGACGAGACGCCAACGATGAAGGATGAGTACTGGCAAACGGACAGGAAAAAGCAGACGAGCCCAAGTGGACGAAGAGAGGCAAACAAGGGAGGGGAAGTTGGTTATTCTTCCGGTTGGCCTGGCCCATACTCTCAGCCATTACTCGCTTCGAGAGAGATGTATTCCTCTGGTCCCACTCATCTCTAATTACAAATCAGAAACAACTCGCTGGGCCCTCGCCCCAATCATCCCCCGACCAGGCTCTCTTCTGTTCATTTTCTGTTTGTTTCTCGGACTACTCGGCAGTCACCACGTTGACGTTTCTTCGTCTCTCCTATCTCCTTTTCCTTTCGGATCCCTCTTGGGACGGTTCCTCATTTCATCGGTTTTGCACCGGCGTTTTCTCTGCCAAGCCTCGCCTCTCTGTTTTTCTTCGTCGACTTTTTACAACGTGGTTTTGCGGCTTTCGCCGCAGCGCGGCGACCTCCTTCTTTTCCCGCGCTGCTAATCGAGCCACGCCTTTTTTTTAATAGTAATATGCACGATTTTTAGTGGTGTATGCTTATTGAAGAATTAGCGTCTTTGAGAATGCAAGTCTGATCGTTTCGAAAGTAACGGTTGAAAAAGCAGTTGATACGAACTGATTGAGACAGGTTCGTGTCAGTCGTTTGTGATTAATAAGTAATCTATTTTTTAATATTGTAAAGTTGTGTACCATTATTCAAACATCATTAGTCTAAAATTCCTGTTTTATTTGAACAGTCTATAATTAGAATATTATTGAAATGATAGCATTTTATGCGAATAAAAGTCAGTGGGATTTAAAAAATACTGAAAAAGATATTAAAAGATATTAAACTTAAAGATATTTATTCATAAATAGACACACACATGCTGAGTATTATATGCGGTAAATATAATCACATTGTTTTGTTACTCAAAGCTAATGCAGTCATATCATTGTTCGTTTTATATATATTTTGAATACGGAGGACCCTGGCAATATATTATATCGGGAAATGTTAATATTCTGTTTAAAAAATGTTGAAATTATAAGCTGTATTTACTCGTGTCGGTTCAATTGAATTTACGACAGAACCACGATAATTTCGGCTAAAATGGTAAAAACAATGTTTTGAACACTAGCAAGCAGGAAAAGGCTGGAGCAACAATGAGCTCTACGACTACTGTCAATAAACGAAACGATGTTGATTTTGTACATTTCGTTCCAATCTAACGTATCCATTCTACATTTTCGTTTTGTCTGTTCGGTGTGTTTTTTTATGCCGCTAACCATTTCATTTGAAACACGAGTTTCCTGCGATCAGATAGATAATTCATGAGTTTCTCGTACTTCTGGTCGTTTAAATTTGTTGTATTTTTACATTGGAATTTAAATGACGAACATTTTTGTTTAATTATTTAAAATATTTTTTCGATTTTATTATTAATTTTACAACGCGTGAATTAATAAGTTATTTATGACAATTACTCCACTGATTTTCAAATGCTTCTATATATCTCAACAGACTTGAGAAATATATTTATAGAAAAAATAATGTTTAAAAAATCTATTAACATCGCATTTCTTTTTAGATGCTCTTCAATTTTTCATACCAAGTACTCTTTTGTTTCCACTGAGATTTTCTTTTTTAACGCTTTTGCTACAACGTTATTCTCTTGATCATGAAAATAGCTGTGCACAGAATATCCTGTCCGTAACAATTTTATTTCGTATACTCTAGGTACAAGAGTAAAATTTTATCGAAAAGTCTTGCTCCGTTTTTTAATCAAATTTATATATCTGCACAGCTATATACACATGCTAAGATAATGACACTTGTCTTCTTATCTTCGTCGTGGCGATGGTTATGTATGGTTTTCCCATTACGTAAGTTATTATATAGGTATATTATATTATTATAAGGTATAGGAGAAACGAAAAAGTAAACCGTTCATTCAAATTCGCGATAAGGAATCTATTAAAAGACTTGTTTAACGAAATCGAATGCATAACGAAATCTAATAAAGCGCTGAGAACCGGCTGGATGAAACCTTCGTCTTTAGAAACTAGCAAGGTATTATGGTTGGACGATTGCTGCGCGAGACAGTTCGGAACAGCTCGATATCGTTTGGCTCTGACTCGCAGTTCGAAAACGAATTTAACGTAAAGGTAGACTGGGAGAGGAGGGTGTCGCGTTCGACCTTCGATACAACGAGGTTCCCGAGCTACCAAGGAACTAGAAGTACTTATCAAGTTGTGGAAGCTTGTGCGACGCGGTTCCACAACTGCGTTCCCGTCGTTCTCTACTCTCTTTCTTCTTTTTCTACTCTTTTCTTTCCTCTTTTTCGTCCTCTAGCTTTCCTCCAACGAAATTACCTACTTCCACGGGACTATCGAGATCGAGCCCGCGGAGAAAACGGATTTTCACACTTTCCCATTATGCAAATTCCTTTTAAAAAGAAACCACCGCTGCAGAGAGCGAGCAGAGACCGGCTGTATCGATAGTGGAAGGGGAAGGCGACTTCTCTCTGTCCATTCTAACAGAGAGCAGGTTGGATCGAGATGGAAAGATAGCCTGGACCGAGGAATTGCAAGTACCGGTTCGGAAAGAAATATTTCAATAATGCCGCAGGCCTCAAGGAATTCTAGCTGGTGCTAAGCTTGACCCGTAGCCGATGTTCCAGCCTCTGTCATTTAAATGCCACTGTAGCGCCACGAAATGCCGGATAAACCGCAACTTCGCAAAAGAGCTGCGGAGGTTTTGTTTCCTTTAGCCTACTCATTTGCCACGTCGGCCACTATTCAAGTTAGATTTCAATAGGTTCGACTATGGCTGATATCAGGCTTCGATTTTAACATGAACCGGCTCCTCTCGTCTCGGCTCATCCGGCAAACTCGTCCGATATCGGTGTTCGAGGTTATTATTAATTTTTCTGACTTGGAAACGGAGACATCGAACGACTTTGTTCATTAATGAGCAGCCAAGGAAGAATTCCCCCGATTGGCGAAACACTGTTTGTCGTTCGTTCACTGATGCCATCGTCGTTCTTATTGTCGTTCGGGTATTCTTGGTTGTATCGAGAAAGTCGACGATTTCTTTCAATAATATTGGCAATGCCTGCTTGGGTAAATGTTGATTGGGCATTGAATACTTTTGAATGGAATGATTCTTTATCGTGGTGAGAAATTGCCAGTGGCCTGGACTAGCTTGCCACGTTGTAATTATCGTGCGAATGGAAATTTTCTTCGAACGCTTATAGTGAATGATACAGGATTACTCGTAGACATTTCTAATCCCTAGTTAATTATAATGTTTTACGCTTATAAATAGGGCTTCTACATATTCTTTAAAAACCTTGATCAGAATTAAACTTTAAACAGGTGAGTAACTCCCTCGTAAAAAATAAAACCACCTCAAGTTGTATGACACAAAATTTCATTCCCGTTTTGCTTTGTAAGAACTTAATCCAACAAGAACGATAACTTCAACGGGAACTTAATTCCGGGCGAATTCCCGACAAAAGCTTCGAGAAGCGATAACCGTTCAACACGAAATTCAGGTTTAACAGTTCCGACGATATTAATCGTATAAATCCCGGTCAATGAAAATACCATTTACATGAAAGTCCATTTCCTCGTTTAAACCAAATAATAAGAAATCATGTGCTATACGATGCGTTACAAATACGATGGCGTACATAGTCGAGAAAGTCAATGTCAAGCACTGCTATCGCCGATGCTTGAAGAAAAGAAACCAGGAAACAAGAAAGTGGAGAGAATGTTAGCCGTGTTTGTCAGGCTGTCTCGTTTTAAATTACTTCGCAATTGTTGCACGTAACAACAGAGCTTACCGCTGTCTGGGGTCCAATCGTAGTTTCTTTTCCTATCTAGGTCGCTCGATTTTTGCTCAGACTTGCCGATCTCGCTGAGGTTCGACTGGAATTTATTACCTGCAAGCAAAAATAACCGGCCGCTCTAAATGGGCTTGACATACAATGAAATTACACTGGGCTATAACCACGTATCGTAGCCAGGAACCCGTTTTAAATGAAAATATAGCGGTCACCAAATTAAATGCAAATATCAAAAGTTTTAACGTTAGCACCCGAACGAACCCTGGCCATTCCGTTCCGTTTCATTTCGTTTCGCGTTTTATCCACTCCATGGTGTTTCATCGAACTTTCGTGGAAATAATATTTGACGAAACAGAGATACAGAGGAAAGACGGAGGCAGTTGTTTATTGTATGCTCGAAATCGTTGAAAACGGAGTCGAAAATGGATGAAACGTGAAACGTTAAATTGTTATCCGTTGAAATCGGATTACGCGTGGGTATGTCGTGAACTGGAAAGTCTAGATACATTTTACATTTTCTTTTTTTTATCTGTATTATTTGTCATTTGTATTGGCAGTGCAATTTCAAATCCAAGAGTATTATCGAAAAATCATTTCGAAACATTTCTTTTTGAGAAAGTGATTATAGCAAAAATATATTTCTGCCTATTCTTTAGGATTCTTGACTAAACATTTGTTTTTCTACATCTACATTTCGTATTTCATCTCCACGATTCGGTTACTCCAAAATGGTTTTAATAGCAGGCATTATTTAAATTACGAAAGTCGTAATATACGTAATAAATGTGAAAATATATTGTTTAATAGCCTGTTTTTAGAAATCCAAAGAAAAAGTTTCGCGATCGCGAAAAGTCGATAACGAGACGTTCGCTCTTGTCAAGCATGGTTAAACATAATTCCTCGCAGTTGCGATCTAAGCCCGCCAGCATCCTGTCCTGGTGGAATGTATAGCGAGCGATTGCGAACAGTGACAAAGGATGACTCGAAACAATAGTTAACGCGAATAGAATAGAGAGAAAGCGCAGGAGACAGAGTTAGAACGCGGCGAGTTAAAGAATGGAAGGAAGTGGCCGGAGGTGCAAAGGGAACGCGAACAAAGGGACTAGTACTTTCAAGTGGCCCCTCGGTTGAAGATGTTTACGGGGCTGTTATGCGTAAAGTGGGTGGCAAACGCGGTAACTAGTATGCAAACTACGAGTAAACACAATTCCCTTATCCACTGCATCGTCCTGGAGCCGTTTCACGCTGGCGCGCTTGTCACGGGCCAGTCCACCGGATCAAATCAAGTAATGAAACTAGCACACGTTGACTACGTACCGAGAGGAACTAACAGAGAAAGATAGCGAGAGACAGAGAGAGAGAGAGAGCGAGAGAGAGAGAGAGAGAGAAAGAGAGAGAGAGAAAGGCGGGAGTGATGGAATGATAGACAGAGAGAGAAGTCGCTCAGGGAACAACTTTTTCGTTGATATAATTCTCGTGGCCGCGTGCACCTCGCGACCAGGTGGAGTCAGCGACAACTAGAAATTTTGTAGTTACAACGCGGGTTCCATTTGCATACATCAACCAACGGACCGGGAGAACCGAATTTCCCGCAGGAAGGATCTCATTGACGGGCATCACGTGCTTGCTAGCCCCACTGACGTCAACAGAATCCGTTCACGGATCTCTGCATTTCTCGTTACCGATTTTGGTTTCGACTGGTTCCACCGGGTTCGCCTGCGTGGAAAAAACGTATCCGTGCTTGATCACATTCTTCGTCTGACTCGCAATCTCGCGTTTAGGGTCGGAATTTTGGAACTGGTTTGATTAGTTTCAGCTCGGAACTTGATAGAATGCAGATTTGACGTGAATGTAAACGAAGCCTGCATTCCAATGTATTTTCTGCGGATTTTTGATCTTCATTGCGAGTAAATCTCATTTTTCCCAGTTTTTCCCATTAAATAAAGCTTCTTTTTAAGCTACCACCTTTCACGTTTCGGAACCTAATTTTCTACGAGGTACATATCATCTTTACGACAATGAGGCGTGAAGTATAATAGACACATGTTGAAATTCTTCATCAACGTCGATTCTTCTTCTCTACTTTCTTCCTTTCGGTAACAAACGTGTCAGATAATACGCTGAGTAGTCGAAACTCTATCGCAAGGATTTCAAACATTCAAAAGCTAAAATTCTCGCATCGCGAAACCGTACCAACAATCGCAACTAACCATCCTGCGCTCCTTACCGCTTTCGATCCCCATACAAACGAGCTCTAACCCTCGAGCTATCCTCGAACCATCTCCACCGAGCGAGTTCTTTGCCAAAAGAAGCTTGGACTCGAATGTGACGATCCAGATCGCCGTCTCTGCTCGTCGTGTTTCAATTCCATAGAAGCCGGAAGCATAGTGGCGAAATTTACGGCCCCGAGAATTGTCCTCGTCGAAACAATATCGATAAACCCTGTCAACACCGAGGGAGAGAGAGGGCGGAGGGGGGAAGAGAGAGAGAGAGAAGAGTCGCTACTTAAGCCTCCGGTATAGCCTGATCGAACCCGCCGCTTTGTCTTGGTGACCTGGTGATTAGATTTTGTAAGTTGGTCGGCTAAAGGAACGCGCGATGTCTGCACTGGTTGGCAAGTGGAGGAAAGCTTGCAGAGGAACAGGCTCTTGGCACAATACCCTATTTCGGACGAGATAATGGGCGATCATCCTGGTACACACGCGTGCGCTGTGAGTCACTTGTTCGCCGGCTGTGTGTATAATAGCGTCTACTCCCG